CGCGTCGCGCGCGGCCTGCTCGGCGCGGCGGTCGCGGTCGCGGTCGGCGGCCGGGCCGGTCAGCCGGGTCTTGAGCGACAGCACGCCCGACTGCATGCCGACGGCCAGGTGGCGGTCCTCGGCGGCCGCGCCGGCGGTGATGACGGCGACGGAGAGCACGGGCGAGGGGTACTTTGCGCCGGCGACGACATTCCACGAGGACGTCTCGAAGACCTTGACGTGGCCGTCGAGACCGCCGCTGACGACGCGCTGCCCGTGCGAGGCGAGGGACAGCGATGTCACGGTCTTCTGGTGGTTGGTGATGAGGCGGATGGGTTTCGCGGCGACGAGGTCGAGCACCGAGATGGCGTTGCCGGACGCGGCGAGGAGGGTGGTGCCTGACGGTAAGGGGAGGACGGCCTCGACTGGCGCCTCGTGCTTGAAGGTGAGGACCGCTCCGCGGGGCGCTCTCGAGTCCCATATCCTGACTGTCGAGTCGTAGCTTCCAGACACGAGCATGGTGCTGCTCGCTCCCGAGGCGGGCATGAAGGCGCCGCACCGCACGTAGTCGCCGTGGCCCACGAACGTCCGTGTCGGCTCCTGGCCCGGCAGGTCCCACAGCCTGACCGTCTTGTCGTCGCTGGCGCTCATGAGCGTCGTCAGGTCCGTCGGCGACCACTTCGTCACCCAGACCGGCTGCTTGTGAATGTGCCACGTCTTGAGAATGACCGCTCTGCTGCCGCCTGCGACGTCAAACACCTGCATCTTGCCCGAGTCCTCGCCCGCCACCAGCACCCTCGAGTCGCCGCGAATCTCGGCCGAGCGGGCGACAGAGTCGAAGCGGCCGATCGTCTTGAGAGGGTCGCGCCGGCGGATGGAGTAGACGTCGACGCGGGGCCCGGAGGTGACGGCGAATAAGTCATTGTTCTTGGCGGCGGTCGTAGCGGATGTAGACGAGGAGGAGGAGGACGGCGCAGGGAAGCTGATGTGCGTGACGGGCCATGAGGCCGTCGAGGTGTGCGACTTTGAATTCGTGAACGACTTCCAGTAGCGCTGCTCGGCCGTCACGGGCGACGGACCCGATGGTAGCTTGAGCTGCTGCAGCGGTCGGATCTCGGCGGCCATTGGGGGCGGCTGAAGATGTGTGGTGGCAGCAGAATTCTTCGAGCTCGCCGCTGCTGGTTTCCGTGATGCGGTCGTATAAAAAGCAGATTCCAATAATTTTTTGGGTCTCCCCTCCAAGGCACTTGTACTGAAGGCGGTGCTGATTGGCTGGTACGGATCAAAATGTTCCGTCGGCCGCAGAACCTTGTCGCTCAGTTGGGTTTCATTACCTTGAGAACGGGTCCACTACGATGTAGAACTACCTAGGTACCTAGGTAGGTAGATAACAGTACGTACCCCCAGAAAACACCTAGCCAGGTGAGCTTACAAGAGGGTGTGTAAATTATACTGAGCTTCTCCCATATAATTCATAATGTTGTTAGGCGGACAAAATGCTCTGCGAGTTGTATGTTGCAGTCGTTTGATTACTATATAAATAATCTTTCTCATAAATAAGCAGCCATGAAAACAGTTTGTCACACGAAACATGAGCACACTTTACACAATGTTGTCAGAAGAACACCATACAGAGGCCTGAACACATGACTGTGCCAAAACGATTTTCAGGCCAATCGACTTACCTCCCATTTCCCCCATCACTAGAGACAGTACTTCACTCTGAAGTACTACTTTATTTAACTCCTCAATTAGTCTGTTTTAGGTCAATTGACAGTAGCTAATTAGCTACTATCAACGGGTATTGTTTCCATGTTCTCTGACCCCAATCAAATGCGAACGCTTCTGCAAAGGTTGGTTCTACAAGTGAGGGCCCTTAGGAGATAAGATAGTGTTCTGGTCTGGGCCTCCAGTACACCAGCACTGTATTCATAGCCCTAACTCTGAAGCTACAGTGATTAGTCTACTATAGTAATAGTGGATAGCCCCTATATTGTAGTGGGCTATCAACTGTTGGTATGAGTAGCACAGTATGGATACTGGCGAGCATCAGTTTAATACCGTGACAAATATCACTACCTATCTCGAGAGGGCCACCCAAACGGCATTCTTACTACAAGCCTGCATCTGTTGACGTGCGTGCCGGATACTCGGGTCCCCTCGACAATGACTTTGGTCCCAGCCAATAGACGCAGTAACTATGGCAGCCAGCGAGCATCGTCGGCGGGCAGGGCAACTTTTCAGGGGTTATGGAGCCGCAGCGACGGGCCAATCCTTGAATCACCTGCAGCCGTTCCAGAACCCTGAAAAATCGTTTTGGCACAGTCGTGCGTTTAGGCCTCTGTTACGGAGGCCTATAGGCACGACTGTGCTTTTTCAACTTTTCAAGAAAAAAAAGAAAGTCGGTTATTTTTGACATATAGTCTAAGTACCACACTAGTACCAGCTTACAGCACATACAGCATACAGAGCACCTACAGCACCTACAGCACCTATAGTATCTATAGTATCTACCTACCTAAGCTCATAAAGCTAAGATATACTTAGCATATGCCTAGCACCATACTCGCTCCCAATAAATACTAGGTTTTACAACCAATTATCAGCAATCAAGTTACATCGAATCCGAACAAAACCTAGTCTTCGTATTTCTATGTACACATCTTAGTTTTGTCTTTCGTTTCTGCTTCAAAGACGTATATAAGAGACGAATGTAATTATCTTATTAGCCGAAAAAGGTTGGGCCGATAGGCTTTCCAAGCAGGTCCAATAGTGCATCAAGAAGGACCTTCGGTATCACTTCTACTGTGGTTGGATCCAAAAGCGATGATACAACAGTCTGAGTAGAACAAGAGCTGTGTAAGGCCGTTCCTTCCATAACATCATTTAGCCACGAGAGGGCCTTTGCTGCGCCTATAGCTGCAAGGCTTCCATGTTCAGACAGGAGATCCCGCTCATACTGTACTGAGGCTCCTCCAGAACAATAATGATCAACAAGTTTGTCTGTGTCAGCAATTGGACTGACCTCATCAAGCACGGATTTGTAGACATATAATGGGATCTGAGGGATGGATCCACCTAGGGAATTCTCGTTGAGAATGTTCGAGGCTAGTCCTTGGGTGAAAATGGATGGAGTTTTGACCATGCCAACGACGTCCTTGAACAAAAAGTCGATCATGTTAGGTGTAAAACATTGAGTTGCAACCTTATCAAAAGCAGCCTTATATTGATGGCGGAGCTCTTGATTCACAAGCTCGCTAAGGTCTGGGTATTGGTGCGCAAGTCCAAGTATGCCCATGGGGATCAGGCCTGAAAACGGAGATTTGTTGACAGTGCTGATAACTGTTGAGATATTCGGAACAGTGCCACCAAGTGCAGCCCCTGCGATGTTTAGTTCGGGAGCATAAGAAGGTTGTAGCTCTGCCGCCCATGCGGATGCAATGCTACCACCGGAATATCCCCACATCGCTATTGTTGGCTTTTGCTTGATTCCGGTGAAGTTCGCCGAGTTTAACGCGGCGCGAATTCCATCAAGGGTAGCATATCCCGCAAGCTTATTGGCCAAGTACGCTCCTTCAGGGCCTTCGTGATCCGGTGAGATGACTACCCAGCCGCGTTCGAGAGCTGCCTCAATCAACAGTAACTCAGCCTGTGTAACAATCGTGCCAAGGACGCCCCCTGTTGCAGAATCAAGTTGGAAAGCGTATGAGGGCGCACAATTGGCGAACGACGCATCTTCCGCAACTTGATAGGACAAGATCTTACTGAAGTCGGCGTTGTGGGGAACTAGCACTGTGAGAACTGTAGCAGTGGCTTTGTTGAAGTTATCATTGGTTCTGTAGAGAATTTGCCAGGTGTTTTGCAACTTGAGCGGATCTAGCCCGAAAGCAGCCATAGGGGCCGGAGGCTTTCTATACTTGAAGATTGTGCCCGGTGCGAATTGTTGAACATCATCCGGAACTTGGTAGAAGCTATCTTGGGTTGGAGGCAGGGGAGATACTCTTTCGGTGAGAGGCAGAGCGCGAGCAAGGCTGATCAATACAAGTTGTGTTACCGAGAAAAAACGCAGCTCCATGATCATCGAATCAAACAATAATGTGCAATTGGAAGAGGACCTTTTATTACAGTGGAATGGCTGAATGGTGATGTTACTTGTCTTTAGGAGGCTATAATCATAACATAGACAACATCTAGAAAATAGACAATGTTAGGTTTCAATTATAGAGCTCGTAAGGCCAGACACATGTTATTGCAAGACATTTTCTCATAAGAAACCTCGGTTTCGAGACTGACAGATACCTATCAGCCTACTGGCCTCGGTCAGGTCTCAGACGAGTGAAGATTTTCAGCTCCGGAAACCCCGATCAAATTGTTTGTTTGATAGAAGCAATGTTTTGGCTTCAGCTAATATCTATTGCTCCACTAGAGCAACACATGCTATTGGCTAACCCACACCCGAGTTTCCGACTCCAGCTAAGTGCCGTGGTCGGGGATGTGATTGGTCAGCCGCGGCCACTGCTCCACCGAATTCCACCCAATCACAATTGTTGGCTGGCTCTCCCTCTTCGCAGCCTAGACTATCCTCCGGATCGACACAGCCTTAATATATTTCATTAAATCAGTGCTAGACAACGAACTAGGTCCTGTGGCGTAATGGCAGCGCGTCTGACTACGAATCAGGAGGCTGTAGGTTCGACCCCTACCTGGATCAATATTCTTTTTTTTGCTTTTTCTCCCAAATGATCGGAGGAAAGTATAAGTATGCATGCGCAAGATTGTTTTCTGTTTGTAAGCCATGAAATAAGATTAATTACTAGTTACAGATTAGATACCAACAGCAGTTTTGTTTTTTTATTTTCCCCATTTTTTTAGGTGGCCGTGGCATGGCTGGAACAGCAACCTCCACGACAACTAGATGCAGCCGATTAGCTCTTTCATTTTTATCCTCGTAGCCTTTTCATACCTACCAACAAGTCAATACACTCCTTCCCTGTATCATATCTGCCACTCTCTCCTGCGCTTTCTTACCTACTCACAATTGCAGCACTGTCTGTCGGCATAACCTCCTTACATTTTGCTCCAACTTTCGAGAGACCGACCTCCACCAGATGCATTTCCTGGCCTCATGAGATTTGCGCACCAGCGGCAAACTTTTCGCATTTAATACGCCAGGAACACACCGGTACAGGTGTTCAGCAGTACTGAAATCGGGATCTTCACAAGGTAGGTGCCCTCCTCATCCACCAAATACTCTCTAGCTCATGCTTACCTAGGTGGCAGCAGTCGACATCCATATGGCGAACGGTACATTGGGGTCCAACAGGGATACTATCCTGCGGACTCAAGAATGCGTTGAGTCATTTTGGCGATACCATGCAGAGAATTTGGGGGATTCCACTCTTGAGGAAGTGGACCAGCTCTAACGCTGAAAACAACCTTGAAGATGAGACTACAGCTTCCTCTGTCGCGCACCGACTGGCTCAAGCCATGGCGGAGCAACTCTCTGAGTACGACTTCCGACAGGTGATGCGCTTCTTCCAAAGAGTATGTGGACCTCGGGAGGAAGCACTTGATCACTAAGGCTTACAAGAGTGCTCGATACCTTTAACTCGGCGGAGGTCAAGCTATCCGGTCAAGATCGCAAGAGACTAGCAAGCCCCGGCGATCGGCCGAAATCTCATCGAATAAGTTCTTTCCTATTTCATGCTCATAATGATCATTAATTTAGACTATGAGATACTAATGAGCGTTTACAGGAGGGAAACAGTGAAGGAAGTCACCTTCAATTACATATATGACAAGCTAATCGGAACATGGACCGAACAGCTGAACACTCTCGTTATTCAGTTATTCGACATCTCAGTAGATCATATTAGACAATTAGACTCACTCATGGGGGATGGCCAGATGGTTCCTGTCAGTTGTGAAGGTCAAGAAATGCCCCCGGGCACAAGTCCTACAAACCACACTGCCGCCTTTCTGAATGAGCAGGCCGGCAAACGCGCCTTCTATGCTGCCGCCATTCCGTCCGTCTGGAAGATGCGCAAGCCATATGCTCAATATCCCGTCATTCTTGACTTCGGTTCGGACTGTAATCGTGACATCTCCATGGTGGAGAAGACTTC